CAGACACACAGGCACACAGACACACAGACACAGAGACACAGATCACACAGTCACAGAGTCACATAGACACAGAGACACAGAGACGCAGAGACACAGAGTCACAGAGACACAAGGACACAGAGACACAGAGACAAGCATATTCAGAGACACAGAGACACACACACGTGCTCTTCCGGAGGTCCGCACGGATTCCTTGGCCGTGCGCACGCACCCCTGCGGCGACTCGCCCCCGGCCCGCTGCGTGCGCCACGGAGGGGGGTCAGTAGCGGGGATGCCGACGGAAGGGAAGACAGCTCCCGAATGGCCTCTGCGAGCTGTCGCGCCCCGAAGGATTCGCGAAGGGAGCGCCGCCATCTCATCCCAGGCCACGCCGCTATGCTTGGTCCAGTCCCACCCCCCTCTGGAATCAACTACATCGTTCTTGACCTCGTGTCCTTCCCGAATCCTTACACGGCTTCTGCCACTGCCTCTCACCGTGTGTCTCCCCGGCTCCCCTGCACTCGTCGGTGCTCATTGTGCAACACGCGCTGCGTTCACTGCCTTTCCCCCGATGGCCTAAGGAAATGTAGCACATGAGGGATATGTTCTTGACTAGTCCAACAGCTTGCCCCTCTGGAGTCTCCGCCGGGCACACCAGCCCCCTGGCGAGGCAAATTCATAATGCATAGAAGCCGGATGCGATCAACTGCGCACGCCCCATGCATTGGCAGAGCGAGACATGGAGAAGACACGAAGTACCTCATGTTTTATCCCCCCCCGCTGTTACAGACAACGTATGACCATAAGGAACCTGACGTAAGGCACGAATCCCCTTGCTCCGTAGGGCACGAATCCCCCTGATGGCCCCGCTTGCGCTCAGAAGCACGAGGAGCGCCAAGGAAGCAACCAAAAAAGGACCCAAGACACCTCAAGCCCCCGACGAGACCAAACTTGCTCTTATTCCAAAAGATAGGTGTCCTGTGGGAGGACAAAAAAAACGGCACGAAGTCCGTTGACGTGTTGCTTCCGTGCAGGACCAGTCTCTCAAGCTGGAAGAAACTGAGCGTGGTGGGCACCCAGTAGCCACGTTCCCATACCCCTGTGACCTTTCATGCCTCCTCCTCCTCCTCCTCCCTCGTTGTCCTCCTTCCCCTCCCTATCCTCCTCCTTCCTCCTCCTCCTCCTGCTCCTCCATTCCTTCTCCTTCTAAATAAATTCTCCCTGTCGCACCCCGAGGCCATTGTTTAGGGCGGGCCAGGCGTTTCGCCTGGGATTTCCTCACCATGTACGCCCTTGAAACTTACAAAGTTGGCAACAGTTTCGCAGATGGAGGGCGGGCCGTTTTCAAAATGTGGCTCTCGCCTTAGCGCAACGCATGCTCGTTTTCAGCGTATGCAATAGCTTCACGAATTTAGGGCGGGTGGGTTTCAAAATGTGGTTTTCGCCGAAACGCCACGCACATTCATTTTCAAAAACTGCAAGAGTTTCACGGATGGAGAGCGGGTCGTTTTCAAAATGTGGCTCTCGCCGCAATGCCGCGCACATTCCTTTTTCAAAAATTGCAACACGGCTTCACGGATTGAGGGCGGGTGGTTTTCAAAAGGTGGCTCTCGCTTTAGCGCCGCGCACATTCGTTTTCAAAAACTTGCAAGCGTTTCACGGATTGAGGGCGGGTGTTTTTCTTCAAGACGTGGCTCTCGCCTTAACGCCGCGCACATTCCTGATACAACGGTGCAAGACATTCACGGATTCTCATGATCGGCGTACCAGAATTCTTGGTTTGGAAGGATTCACGATTTTGACGGCGCAGCTGTTAGAATGATTCGCGGAGCTGAGGTTCCAAGAATGGCGTTCTGGCACGAACCAGGATGGTCAAGACGCAACAGTCAGGTTCATCCGTGGCGTTGAAACACCGATACGAATGTTTTGGCATGCTTCAGGGTCTTCAAACGGTTGTCTTCCAACGAGGCAAGTCCCTCTGTGGAAGTGAACCTTTGCATGGGGCCTATGCAGAAGGAGCTTGGGTGGAGGGTTTATTCCAACATCGTTGGTGACTCGTGGGTTTACACTGGTCTTCCTCCTCCTCCTCCTTCTCCTCCTTCTCCTCCTCCCCCTTCCCCCTGTCCTCCTCCTCCTCCCCCTCCTCCTCCTCCCTCGTCGTCCTCCTTCCCCTACCCCCCCTGCACCCTGTTTTCTCCCCCCCGCCTCCTCTGCCTCCTCCATATCTCCTCCCTTCCTGCCTGCCCCCCTCCTCCAGCCCTTTGGATGACTCCTCCCTTTCAAGGCTGGGAGTCTCTCTCGCCTGAGACTTCGCCACCGCTTCTGACCCCGAAGCCTGAAATGTGCAGCAGCTTCCCGGTTGGAGGACGGGACGCTTTCAGAATGTGGCTTTCGGCTGGGCGCCTCGCCGCGCATCCGTCTCAACAAAAGCTTGCAGCAGTCTCGATGACGAAAGGCGGCCCTTGCTCAGAATGCCGATCTCGCCTGAGCGCTGCGTGCATTCGATATGAAAGTTTGCAGCAGTTTCGAGAATTCGCATGGGCGAAGTCCCAGGAGTGGTCCCAGTCGCAGTGGGCGCATGGTACACCCTGCGAAATGCTTTAGAAATCATGGGTGAAGAAATTCATAGTCTCAGAATTTGGAGAAAAAACCCAGAATGTCTATTCAAATCTTAGGATTTACATTGAAACATTAAGAATAATCGAGACTCTGGCCGAAAACTTGGGTTTTCTTAAGCATTGCCCAAAGTGTATCAAGGATTGTCAGGACTCAACAGTCACGTTGGTTCGCCGCGTTGAAGTCCCAGGGAGTCGGCGTTCTGGCTCAGTTTAGGCATCGTCAGGGCTGAGCAGCCACGTTGATTCGCAACGCTGAGGCTCCAAGACGGGATTTTTTGGCACGACTGAGAATGCTCAAGTGGCTGTCTTCCAGCGGGGCGTTCCCCACAAGAGACATCAGCCGTTCCCCGCTCTCTGGGGGCAAACAAGAGCGTGTGAGATGTCTGGCTGTACAGTGGAGGCCGGTCTACAAGAAGCCTTCCACAAGAAACCCAACCCTGAGACCCCAGGACGTCCGTTGATTTTTGGTGTGGGAGACGCCGGGCCCTCCACGGCAAAACCATCGAAACCCAAGAAACCCAAGGTACCCTGGAGGCAAGCAGGGCGCTTCTTGGCATGGGCCTCCACTGCAAACCCTCCTCCCTTCCCCCTCCCCGTGGGGGCTCACAGCACCGACCGTCGGCCCGCCGCCACGTTGAAACTCGTCAAAAGGCGCCACCAGCGGAGCGGACGGCAAGCTCGTCGCCGGCATCGCCAGTGCGGATCCCCGTCGGAGGGGCCCGCGGGCGCGCGGGCGCCACGGCCCCGCGGGGCCACCTGCCACGTGGAACGTTCGACGGTTGCGCCCGCTGTCGAAATGCCATCGCCAGCGGCGCTGGGGGCCACCTTGGGCGCCCGAGTTATCCGGGTAACTCGGGCCCGGGGTAACTCGGGCTTGGATTCCCGAAACAGGAACCCGAGTTAGCCCTGACCCGAGTCACCCCGGGTGATTCGGGGCTCTGACCACCGGCTGCCACTTCACGGGGGGGCTCCCCTTGGGGGGCGGAAAGATACGGATACGTGTTGTCCCCGGACCTCTCTTGGGGTGCGTTCTGACCAGAATTTCGAGGCGAATCCAGCGGTGACAACGAGGATTCCCCAGGAGAACCAGGAAAGGCCGAAAACGAAGGGGGACAACACGTATCCGTATCTTTTTCTCCCCCGATCCCCGGTCGCCCTGCGCCCGGGGGGCGCGCGAGCGCCGCCCCCCGGCGGGCTTCCCTGACAGAGGCGTCCACTGTCAAACTACGCCGTCGGGGGGGGCGGGCGGGCGCGCCGGCCCGCGCGGGCCCCACTGGACAGCGGCGCGGCGCCCCCCGTCAGACGGACCGCCTCCCCCAAGGCAGCACCGCGAGCGGTCTGCCCCGTCCGACGTGGGGCCGTGTTTGAAGGGGCCCTGGGACACACAACTACATACATATACGCACAAGTAAAACGACTCCCCCTATGTTCCCACACGGTTTCTGGGCTCTTGTCTCCCCCCCCACACTTCCCATATTTTCAATTTTTTTCCATGTTTTTTTTGTCTTCCCCCCACTTCCCATATTTCCCCATATCTTCTGGGTTTTTGTCTTCCCCCCACTTCCCATATTTTCCATATTTTTTTCCGGAGGAATCGACGATTCATTGTGACTGTGTGTTTTTCCAATATGTTCAAATATTTCCCCGTATGTTCCCATATCTTCTGGGCTTTTGCCTCCCCCCTACACTGCCCATCTTTTCCCATAGATTCCTGGGGGATCGACGATTCAGTGTGTGTCTGTGTGTGTTTTGTTTCCCTCCCGAGTGCTGTAAAGCCCCGCACCAGCGGAGGCGCGGAGGCGCTCCGCCTCCCGGGCCCCCAACGGCTCCGCGCACTATATCCGTCCACAACGGCCGCGCTCCGAGGAGCCTTCGGATTTTGGCGCTTTTTCGCGCCGTGCCAGGGCGCCTCTCCGTGTGCTCGTCGTCGATGTCCTCCTCCTCCCGTCCTCGGCTTCCTAGCTCCTCTCTTCTTTTTCTTGCTGCGAAATATCGTCAATAGCGAGGTCTGGCCCAGCGGCGCTGCAACGTCGTCGACGTCGTCGTCGTCTTCCTATCTCCTCTCTTGGGGCCTCCTGGAGGCGTGCTGGGGGGTCTCGTAGGGCCTCTTGGGTGCTCCCTGGGCCGTCTTGGGGGGCTCTTGGGCAGCCTGGCGCCTTCGAGAATTGCACGCCGGAACTTGTGGGGCGAAACAGCGGAATCGCCGTCCTCCTCCTCTTCCTCCTCCTCTGCCTTGTCCTCCTCCTCCTCCTCCTCCTCCTCCTCCTCCTCCTCATCATCATCATCGTCATCAGCATCATCACCATCACCATCAACATTACTATCACCATCACAATCACCATCCCCATCACAACCACCATCATCACAATCAACATCACCATCATCACCACCATCACCACTATGATCATGATATTGATCATGATCATGACCATGTTCATGATCACCATAACCATCACAATCATCATCATCAACCTCATCATCATTCTCGTAATCAACATCAGCACCCTCCTTCTCCTGACCATCATCATCATCACTATCATCATCACCATCATCATCACCATCACCATCATCATCATCATCATCATCATCATCATCATCATCATCATCATCATCATCATTATCGTCATCATCATCATCATCATCATCATCATCATGGTCATCATCATCATCATCATCATCATCATCATCATCGTCATCGTCATCGTCATCGTCATCATCATCATCATCAGCATCATCATCACGGAAAGCGGAATTGACACAGAAATCTCCAATATGGCTCCAAGACAGCTCAATCAAAAACCAATAATGATCCCAGAGCGCCCCGAATGGACCTCAAGACGGCCCCAGAAGGCCCCAACGGATCGCGAGAGGGCACCGGCCGAGAGAGCCCACGATATCCTCAAGAAAGCCGAATGACGGCCCAACGAACGCCTCTGCCCGAGGAGCCCTCTCAAGGCGGTCGGCGGAATGGCGTAAGCCTCTTGAATAAGTTTTTGCAGGGCCCTATGAAGCGGGGAACCTGGAGGGAGGGTTGATTACAATAT